GTCACATTAGCAAAGTCAGACAAGAACTGCTTTGTATTAGAACATTTTTATGCTGACCTTTTGAGCAGCCCAAATGACAGGAAAAGCTTTCCCTCCCCACAGCTGTGCACAGGGTGTCCATATTTTCACAATGAAAAAGCAGCAAACCTTGATTCGGAAATGCTACATAAAATCTACACAATTCTCACTCACTGGAAACTAAAATCAAGCAACTTAGACTGCAATTCTACACACATCTGAGAGCAAACTCCATGGAGATCAATAGTGTTTATTTCTCAGCAGAGACACAGGAGGTCGGTGTTAAAGTTTTCAGAATTTGGTCATGGTCTTTCAATTCAGGACAATACTTTTAATTTCTATTTTAAGTTATGTGATCTGTCTCCGACATGGTGTAGAGTTTCAGTAAAAAACCTGGGGGGTGGGATGTCAGAAAAACCTAATCCCACTTGTTGCTTTGGATGAGCACATATGGGTTGAAATATTCCACTTGTTCACCCATAGGGCAAACAATCTACTCCCCCCTATTGTTTGCTAAGTGCACTTATGTAAGTTCCCACAGCAGATTCCTTGAGTGGGGCATTTTGTGCTGGCTAGATGCTGCCTCTGAGATTTCCATGATTAATCCATACTTCAGAGACCATTATTTCCCTAAATAAAACAGCAGGCAGAACCTAACTGAACCAAATCTCATTCTGGTAGAAACAATTTTTCTGGAAACCTATTGAACAATTCTGTAAGCTCTTCCATTTTTCCCCCCTTTGCATTTGTATTAACATATTTATTCATTTGTACCTATTTTATCAAAACAGCTTGATTGAACTTGTTATATATGCTAATCCATGAATAGTCCATCTCTGATGGCATTTTCGTTCTTTGGTATTGAACAATCAACAGTGTAATAGATTGAGAACCACCGGCATTCTCTATAACATATTTCCCTTGACTCTTAGTATTTGTCTTTTGCCTGAGTTATGTTTTTGCGGTGCTCACTTATTTGGCTTAAGCACTTCTACCTTTTTACTAGATTTTAGCTATTATGTAATAGTAGAAGAACACAGTAAAATGAGTATTTTCCTGCATTTTATGATATTTGAAAAAGTAGTTGACTTCAGGCATTTGCTTTGTAGAAATAAATGAGAGCTGAAAAAGAGGAAAAAATGCTAATAAAAGTGAGGTGGATCACATGAAATCAAATCAAGCCTCTCCAAATTGCCTCTACGCAACAATTCAGTCTGTTCTCTTTACTTCCAAAATATTGCTAGGAGTTATTCAAGAAAGTGAAAAGGAAAACCGCAATTAAGATTGTTTTGTTCATGCATGTTTTACTGTGTTCGTGACTACAGCATCAAGAACAGCTTGCATGTCTGTGTTAGGTATTATAGACTGAATGCTACAAGCCAAATTTCAATATCATTTTGATCATAATGCTCTCAAGGAGAAATGATTCACAGGTTAACCTGGCAGTCATGTGTAGAGAAGGCAATAAAGGTTCCTGTGTGTAAGAAGCCACGCTAATTATTCTCTATGCACTGTAAGTAGAATCTTCTCAAGACTCTACAAATTCTCTTGAGTTTTAACTCGCACTAATTAGAGCCCATTCACGATATACCAATACATCAGGTTTGAGCCCAGGAGTAAAAACCGACTCTTAAAAAATGAATGTAGCTGTCCATGGTATGCCATGAAGGAGAATTAATTTGTGGCAGTTGTTTTAACATGGTGGGGATAGAACTAGCAGAGAAGCTCATTTAACCATACAAAAATGGCTTCAGAAATTTTCACTGAGAATGCAAAGTCTAAACTTCAGTTTATTGCAGCTGCATATAATGTAAATGTAACGGCAACTTCATAGCAAAAAACCTTTAGAAACCGACAACCTACAGCAGAGATGTGGCAGGCAGGCTGGGAATATAATGCAGTTCAGGCTGTACTATATAGCAGTGGCGATCTAGTCTCTTGTCATCTGACACTAACACTTTCCCCTTACAATAGTTCATATCCATGTTTCTTTTTTTGACATTCCAACAAAAAAGCTTTTCAGATGTCACTATAAGAAATAACTTGTCACTGAATAGCAAACAACAAGGATTTATAACAGACTATGGCAGACCAGAAAGTCTATGGACAAAACAGCAAGGACACATTTTCCTACAATCTTTAAACCTGATCTATTTCCAAAATCACCTATTAACAAGAATTCATGTTTTGGTGTGTGGTTAATTTCCACCTGGACTCCAGCACAGAAACTCTTAATTCCCTGTTAGTTGGAACATAAACTTGGGTTATAGTTATATTGATAGGTTTTCCCTGAAGTCTTGTTTTGTATCAAACAATTTATTAATGCTTTAACCAATCGTCATATGCATTTACCCACAGAACCCACATCTAAGAAGTATCTATACCAGTAGTTCTCAACCTGGGGTCCCCAGATGTTTTTGGCCTCCAACTCTCAGAAATCCTAACAGCTAGTAAACTGGCTGGGATTTCTGGGAGTTGTAGGCCAGAAACATCTGGAGACCTCAGGTTGAGAACCACTGATCTATATAAAACATGGTAAATTCCAACAGTTAAAAACAGGATGTAAGCAGGATAAAACAGAGCATGCAAAATATACAACATAAAGTGCAGTGACGCAGGGGCAACATAAGCTAGGAACTGCACATTCACTGGTAAGAAGGCATTATAGAAGACCAGTCATGTTAAAAAAGTAAGGACCCCTTAGGGGTAATCAACCCCACTCAGGCTAGATAAAAGCATCCCCAGTCCAGTAAACTGTGATGTCTGCAATCAGTCTGGCCTTGATTTTATTTGCTGCCAGGGTTAAGAGAGAAACCTTATAAGTGATTGTGGAGTTGGAATCAGATAAAAGGCAGAAGATCTTTTCTGCAGCTGTGTTCAATTGTAGGTACCATAGAATGGGCCCTAAGAATTTATTTCTTGGTATAGAGCAGGGGTCTTCAAACTTTTTAAACAGAGGGTCAGGTCACAGTCCCTCAAACTGTTGGAGGGCCGGATTATAATTTGGAAAAAAAATGAATGAATTCCTATGCACACTGCACATATCTTATTTGTAGTGCAAATGACACTTTAAAACAATACAATAATTAAAATGAAGAACAATTTTAACAAATATAAACTTATTAGTATTTCAGTGGAGAGTGTGGGCCTGCTTTTGGCTGATGTAATAGGATTGTTGTTGTGTGCTTTCAAGTCATTTCAGACTAAGGTGGACCCTGAGTGAGGGCTGGGTAAATGACCTTGAAGGGCCATATCCGGCCCTCGGGCCTTAGTTTGAGGACCCCTGGTATAGAGTATAGGGAGCTGGTCAACAAGTAGTGGGGCAGATCCTCAATTTCTGAGGCCCCGCAAACACAAAACTGACAAGTCAAAAGTGTGCCCAAGTATCTACCATCAAACACTGAGGACATATTCTGGAATTGTAGTGCTGTAAAAGCTTGTCTGTGCTTAGAGAATGTAAGGTTGGTAAGGTACATGGCCCTTTCAAGGTCAAATTTGTACAACTTGAGCCACGTTGAAAATTTGGATCTGTTAATAACTTGTCTCTCCATTTGAGAGCCTTGATTATAAATGTATTCATGCAGCTTCTCTCTTGAGTTCAAGATCGAAGGCTTATGAGACAGGTTAGGGTATACTTCCAACAATTTCCGATGTTTTGAGCTCCAGAGTTTGCATTCTTGTAGATGTTCAAAGTATAGCTTTGGGAAAACCCTAGCTGAGGAATCCTTTATGATTCTCTGGTAGCTTTATAGGGAGATGTGAATGAGGGATCTTATGGAGGGTAGACCAACCTCTGCCCTAACCAAGGCCACTGGAGTGCCTGGTGAGAGTCTCAGCAGGTTCTTGAGTAATGTGATCTGGAGATCATCCCATCCCCAGACTGTGGTGCTGTACAGAATCTGGGCAATAACTTTGTTCTGGAATATTTTCAGAGCTGGGGCAACCAGATGGCCTCCTGAAGTGTTACAAAATCCGAGGATTCCTCCAATGGATTTTAGCGCCGCTGCTCTGCTGTGTTCTATATGGGGTTTCCATGATAGATTCCCTGTAAAATATATTCCCAGGTACTTACATTCCCTGCATTGTACAATCTGATGGCCACCAATAGACCATGTGAACCGTGAGTGTCTTTTTCCAAACACCACCACCTTTGTTTTATTATAATTGATGATCAGTTTTTCTCTGAAATCTTGTTGAAATAATTTGGTAAGACTTTGGGTTATATCATTTGACAAAAAGAACAGAAATAAATTGACAATCACTACTATTTGAACTGTTTCTTATAATAACACAGCTCAAGGAGAAAGATACTAGAACATTGACTGACGAAGTGTAAGACATGAGAAACCTCCCTGTGAAGGAGAGATTAAGTGTTACAAAATCCGAGGATTCCTCCAATGGATTTTAGCGCCGCTGCTCTGCTCCCTATCTAGTCCTTTTCTGTGTGCCAGTTTCCTGCAAACTATTGTACTGTTTTTGTAATTCATCATCAGTGCATGCATCTTTAATTAAATTTCAAAAAGCAATTTTTATTTTTAAAAAACCTGAAACAGTCAGTTAATTTTTTACTAGAACAGCTATTCCTATTTTGTAAGGTCTAAATATTGCTTACCTTAGTTATAAGGGGTGGGAAATAAGGATTCAGCACATTGTATATCTCTCTTTAATAAAGTTTATCAATCTTTGCATATACTTAGATCACATATATCGCACCATTTAAAAAAACAAGACAAGACAAAATACCATAATGTTAAAGCCAGGTTTTTCACAAAATGCATCTGCACCCCACCCAAAATAAATCAAATAAAAATGGAAAGTCTATTATTTCTGGGCTCTTTGCCATGTTTTGTTACCACTTTTTCAGTGAAATTCCTTTTATGCCACAATACCATGAGAGACATCTATTAGAGAAATGCTACATGCTTAGCTATTTACTATTATAACAATATAAAGGTATGAATAATGAAATATCCACCACCTACCTTGGAACTGCGTAAATTTGATGGTCCCCATTCTCTCTCCATTTCTGAACATAACTTGACCCTAAATAAAGTAAATAGATACCTTATAATAAGTTTTATGATATCATTATGATGCTTCAGTTTAAATAAAATTAAATATATAATTCAAACTTTTCTCATTGATTAAAATATATTTGGAGATTGAAGTAAATTTAGAGTTACAGAACTCATTTTACAATGTAACCCAATACTTGTTCTGTGCAAGGTACAATTAGCACAGATACATATATTTACAGCTACTGACAGAAATGACTCTTATTTTCATTCACTTCCAATCCTATCTCTGGAAAAATACATCTTTCCCTAGACTTCCAGTGTTAACATGTAAATAAAATCCATTCTTACAGAGTTCAAACTAATTAACATTCACATTCCGGGAATAAATTCTTACAAATAATTTGACAACAATTTCACTGCTGTCAAGGAACTAAGAAAAGTATGACTTGTACACTATTACACCGAAAACACCCAGGACACACAGGCTTCAATATAAACCATAAATACAAGACATTCGGTTAGGTGCAGATCAGTGTGAGGGAGTTTTCTTTGAATTCTGGCTAGGCAAAGCAGACAGCCAGGATAAGTCAATTAGAGGAAGAAGTAAGAAAATTCCACATCTACTTGGCTCAATTGAAAGTGATATACATGCACATACACACTATTCAAATCCTAACTTCCTTTGTGTATGTGTCCACATCTAAGGCCTGGGACTTTTTGCCTCCCTCTTCCCTCTGCAGCCTTCAATGTCCATTAAAAATCTGATTTCATGGGTTGGAATCCTTGGGAATGCTATAAACGTGTGTTTTTAAAACACCATCTGAGGTGGTAGACTACCAAGATCCCTTCCCCAATGTATCACAGACTGGCACTATATGTTTGCCCATTTACTATCATTGCTTCTTTCTTTTCTGAAATTATTATTATTATTATTATTACTATTATTATTATTAGTAGTAGTATTAGTATTAGTATTATTTACTTCACTCGTATACCGCTTTTCTCACCCCAGTGGGTTTCCAACATAATAATGGCAAACTTTAATGCCTCACATACAGAAACTGAACATGACAATAGCATACAATTATCCATTAAATCATAAAACACAACATCAATTAACATTAAAACATGGAATTATAAACATATCAATATACCATAAACCTTAAAATCACACGATTCAACAATCATAGTCCAAACTGTTCCAAATATCATATATATTGCACATAATTCTGCCCAAAGGCTTGGTCCCACAGCCAAGTTTTACTTTTCTTCTGAAGGCCAGTAGGGAGGGCACTGATCTAATTTCATTGAGGAAGGAGTTCCATAGTCAAGGAGCCACCACTGAGAAGACCCTGTCTCTTGTCTCCACCAATTGCACTTGCGAGGAAGGTGGAACCAAGAACATGGCCTCCCCAGATGATCTTAATCTTTGAGATGATTCATAGAGGGAAATCCTCCACGACCAGCAGCCAGTGGCTCATGGACTGGCAAAGGTCCACAACCAACCACTAAGAGCAACATGTAAGAAATGCTAATTGAAGAGTGAGTTGTCACATGAACAACTTACACGACGAACATATGATCTAAGGCATAAATAGTGAATAGAAGAGTATGTAAATTGTCTCCACTGGCATGAGATGCAGTTAGATGATATATGTTAGTTCCATGATTACTCTTCTATGCAAGGAAAGCGCTACCCTGCATTGCACACAGCAAGTGATAAATATTATCTACTAGCTTGGATACCTAGCGTTGCCCAGGTTATTTGAAAAAGTCATTTTATTTATTTTACAGAAAGCACAAAGTTGTGAGTGAACTACAACTCACATCATGCCAGGTTAACCCACTGTAACTCCATCAATAGTTAGTTTGTCATGTTTATCCATCTTTATTATGATGATAAGAAAATACTAAATGTATCCTTTCAGAGTGAAATTGACAAAGAATTAGATTCCTAGTATAGATGTTTAAAATACATGCCTCTGTTGCAGTCTTAGGTGGGATTTTCTAGAAAGCAGATTGTTGATCCTGCTCAGCTGATCTGGGCAGAAACTGTGTAATATATAGATTAGCTCCTATGTGAATGGAAGATCCTTGCTGTTGACAATGTATTTATCTTTCTATTCATCCCCATACTAATCAACTAGCTAAGTGCCTACTTTTTAATTTTATGTATAATATTCCTGGCTTCAAAATATACTGTCTCCATGTATGGGTTTGCCATCTGTGGATTTGATTATTCATGAATTTTATTAAAATGTTCTCTTGGGGAATCTCTAAAGATTGTGTGACCTCCAATGTGACACAGAAGTTGACAACAGAGAAGTTGGCCATAGTCATGCTGGAGAACTTTGAGGATCCAAAAGTGGTGTTCTCTAAAGTTAAAATACAGTGTTTTCTTTATTCGTGGTTTTCCCACTTTCATGGGAATCCTGCATCCTTACCTCCAGCTAATGTGGTGGACTAATGAAATATATGTCTGTTCAGTATCTAAGAATTCACAGCTATAAGAAGAAGAAAGATTCCATTTCTAATACTAGTAATTGATGGTACTTACCAGGCCCATAGCCAGCATTTCGATTTGGGGGGGGGGGCTGAGTTTGTTTTGGGGAGGGGCTGAGTCCGAGTGAAAGAGGGTCTACCCTAGCCAACCTTTTGTATCGTTACCCCAATACGCCATGCATATGGGATATATTGAGTAGGGTGATCAGATCATGATATGAATAAACATAACAGTTTAAATAATGCACCAGTAAGGCCTTTTCGCGAACCACCATGAGAATTGGGGGGGGGGGGCTGAAGCCCCCCAAGGCCCCCCCCCCCACCCGGCTACATGCCTGGTATTTACTATGAAGTGGTAATCTGACAATATCCAGTTCTAGAGAGAGCAAGTGTAGTGAAATGTTCAGAATAATTTTTCTCACTTGTGCTAACATTCATAAAGATAATTCTGAACTGTACATCTATAATTGGTGTTTTAATTAGATCATATTGCATTTCCATTTTCCAAATGAACCAATAGGAACCATGGAATACTGGCATGTCTAAGAACACAACTTGGAACTCTGTGTGCTCCTATTAATGATGTCTAATCAAATTGTATTTAATTAACTGAACATGTGATACTTGCGATGTCAAAGACATTATCTGCATGTCGATTATTTCACATTAAGAAACTTTATATGGATGAGGCACCAAATTGGCAGTATATTGTAATATTTGGTGGAAAAAAAAGAAATTAATTTTGGAAAATGGTTTTCAAAGTTTTATAGGGGAAAGATGTATCCTGACACCAGAGCTAGAGCATCGATTTATTGTAGTCCCTACTGGGATTACAAATCTGCACAATGTGAGATTATTTCCACTTTCCACGGACTGCCTCTATGTATTTGCCCATTAAGAACTGTTGAAAGGATCACAGGATTACCCTTTCCCCTGTGTGCCATCTGGGAGTTTTTATCTGATATCCTAATACTACACTTCGAAGCAATGCAAGATAAGCAGGTACAAGGAATGTACATAAGGATGTCAAAACACTGGGTAAGCTATACTGGACATGTATATGTTGGGAGTGGAGGAAAAAAAATTTTTGACACAGGCTAGGTATTTTCAGCAGCACTCCTGGTTTTTTTTAATCTGAGCAAGACATGAGCAAAATAATTTAGTAGATACAAAGTAAACCAAAGCTCCTATATCATAATAGCTTGTATAAAAGAAAATTGTCTGATTGCACTCATCATTCAGGGCCAAAAAGTGACACCCTTACTGCTAATGTGTGATTCACTCTGTCAATAAAGGAGATTAGCATAGGCTGGTGAGGAAACAAACACTCAATAAGCCATTAAACAATTATGGGTGTGTACATTTCCTGTTGTTTCCTCTCAGTTTCCGACAAGCAGAAGATTGGAATTATCTTAAGAACAACATTAATTTTTATGTTCCCATGACAATAGTTAATGCATCTCAGTTGATCACTATTGATGAACCATTAATTTATATAATCTTTTTCTGTGTCCATTTATGCTACTCTCTTTGCAATAAAGTAGAACATATGTGGTTGCTTCTACTCTGGATGAATAACTACTCTGCTTTGTCTAAAAGGTCTAGCCACCTTTGCATTCATTGCCTATACACTACAATTGCTCTTGCATCAAGTTTCTCATTTGGAGCTGGATGTCGTAGACCCAGATGAGGGCAGTTAAGTGAGAGGCCTTTACATTGTTTGAGTGGCCCAACAAACTACAACCGCCAGGATTCCACAGGATGGAACCATGGCAGCTACAATACATTAATAATGCTTACAATGTGAAGGGGACTAATGTAAGAACAACCACAGCACTGTGTTTAAAAACCATTTCATGTCACTTGGAGACCTGACCTGAAGTGGAAGTATGTAATGTGACTGGTAACTGTTCACACATTTTTATTTATAGCAAAGCTAATTTCTCATGCCTCTTCTGATTAAATGCACAGTTTTCCTTCTTTTGGTTTCATGTTCTATTAACTACATTCCATATCATTAAGGACTTAAGACACTCCTCATGACAGCTTGACCTAATCTTATTTCCCCCATCATAGTGTTGTCAAGCTATGGCACCCCTCCCCAAAGACTTATGAACAATAAAGAGACTGCAAGCAAGATATGATTTTAAAATGTTTTAAAAATTTTCAGCAGCTCCAAATTTGCACAATGTTGAAGCTGCTAGCGGCTCCAGGGTGGACCTAGCAGCAGCTATAGCCGAAAACTCTATTAAATCTAACCTTTTAATAAATCTATCAAATGTATATTCTATGTGTAAATTGTATCATTTGTATCAAATGCATCTCTCGCAGTTTGCATAATTCCTTGGGAACAGAGACCATGGCCAGGGGTCCCTCCAGCTATTTTCCAAGTCAGATAATATCAGGTCCTTTGTGTATATATGCAAGACAAATGATCCTCTTTGTGGCCAAGATGAACTCAGGATGTTTGTCCATTCAATTGAAGTTGAAAGTATAGTGTTCCCACGGAAGAGGAGGTTTGGC